AGTTTTTGGTGAGGATTTTTAAATACCATCAATATACTTACTATGTGCACGAACCCAAATTCAAATTAATTCAAAAAAAAAAAAAGAGTGTTTCAGGCCTGTGTAAAGCCGTCAAGGATGCATCAGCTAATAATGGACATCTATTTTACCAAATGAAGCTACTTTTCTCTTCCCTATTAGCTTCACCAGGCTGAACATCCTCAATATCATTACTAATAATACAGTCCCAATAGTAATAACCAAAACTTCCTCCACAACCCAAAACTAAACATACGCCGCTCCTTCAACCAGAAAGAAAAAATACATCACTTCCACTATTTTATATTGAATTTCATGAGAAAGGAATACATAAATGGCCAAACACCTGTACATGAGCCTCTCAATAAAATCCTCCTCCTTCATCCTAAGAAGAGACTGTCGAGTTTCCTCTCCGAGTGCTGACCAGAAATCTACCAATGTATCGCAAGAAAGCCTGGCAGTGTGCAATGCACATGTTTCTCTTGTTCCATGTCCTCTGCCATAACTTGCCATTCCTTGGCTTATCCAACCCCGACCTCCCCCACCGCATGCATCAGGATAGAGCAACTCACGTTCTCGTTCCCTTGCGCGTGCACTGTCAAACACCTGATTCAAGCAGAAAACTCAGCTACTAGAAAAAAATTGGCTTGAACGCAATCTCATGAAATAATAAAATCATCAGAACTTACATTTTGAAGTCCCTTGAGAGACTTACAATACAGATAGCAATCAATAAGTGTCAACGACCCCTCACGCGTTATGGTTAGACCACCCCAAGGATGGACAGATGGATCTGGGATTTCATCATGGCACCCATTATTAATACTTGATCCACCATCTTTTTGATTTTTTGAGGCCCTTGACCTGTTGCAGGATAGTTGCCCGCCCGTTCCCTCCTGCTTTAAAGACTTTCCATACACAACAATCTGCAAAAAACCGTCAAGCAGTAACCCATTGCATCTAGAGCAGTACATGTTCTTCCGAGCTTGCTCAAAAAGTGTTTGCTTGTCAATCCTGAGAAGCTTCTGTCGAGCTTGTGGCGACAGATCACTCCAAAACTACGTCAAAAGTAGATATAACTTCATAAGAGACTTGTCAGTCATCAATGAGTAAAAAAAAAATGCCCGCATAATTATAGGTTATCATACAATCCGTAAATTGCCAAATGTTATTGATACTACAAGGAACTTCATATTCAATCCCAACCACAGACTCTATCAAACGAACCACAGACTGGGAAATGCATATCAATTATCAAGAAGCAATGAACACAACTTTTCTACCTGTTGCTTCCTTGTGACGATGAAAGAGTCTACATGTGTGCGTCTGTGTTTAGGTTTTATGTCCAAGCCTGTAAGTGTTACTAACTTACTATAACAAAGTAATAAAGATGCACTAGATTTGGTATAACCAGACAGCTTTATTTCAACTATCCTGCCGGAATAAAAAAAAATTACAACTTTTCTTTCTTTTGCACATACTTTTCTTCCGTTACCTCGCATATGAAGATCCTTTTGGAAACAAAAACGTAACGAGAAATGCTTTCCGATAACGGTACACATTACGCAATTATCAACTCAAATACATAATTACAAGATTATATTCTCACTAAGGACATATACACACACACACAAACAAGTCAAGTGGATCTGATTAACGAAACAACGATATTCCAACGAAAACTAGCCCTCCAATGAACAATCACACATGTACAACCTCATAACTTGTTAGTACAATATCCAATTCAAACTCAAAACACCCATTAAGTTCATTAATCAAACACAATACCAAAAAAGTGATCCAAATTAATCTCATTTATCAACCCAATGTCAAAGCAAAAATCGAATAAATTAGAAGAAAAAAAATGAAGTACCTTCTGGAGCTGATTGTAGCTAACATCGTCGCGACGCTTGGACCAAAATCCGTTGGACGAAGACAGTGAGTAAATGGGCGACGAACCATCACTGAATTGGTCATTTCTCTGAGCTAAACCGGGCATATTTGGTTCAAAATTCTCATTCACCGGCTCTTCCCATCCCCGGGCACGCGTTCGCGGTCCGATTCGGATTCAATCCGATCGAAAATCGAGCATTCCAATCAATAAAACCAAAAGGGGAATTAATCTGGGAATTATAGATCGAGGAATGGATGGTTTTCGGATAGAAATGAATTGCGTCGGAGGTGAATCCGATTGGGATAGTGGGTTGAATTGAAACGGACTGGATTGGATTGGATTGGATTGCAGGGTGAGAAACTGAGAAGGGAGGGGATGTAATGGGGGTTTTGGTTGAGGACGGTGAGATTTGGTGCTGCGTATATATTTGCAGAGAGAGAGAGAGAGAGAGAGAGAGGAGAGAGAGGGGAAGGCTTTGGTGATGGTGGCTATATAAGGGAGGCACGGTTAAAACGAAATGAGCGAGAGAAGGAGAGGGGGAGAGAGAGAGAGAGAGAGAAATACTGTTCCGTTAATTTAACAGGATTAATTTAAAATCCCAAGCTAAAATAATTTCCTAGTTGTACAGTACTCACTATTCGTCCGTATCTGACTTATGGGGGCCCACTTCGTCGTTTCGGTAAGAAAAGCACATTCTGTCGCCACTATTTCCACGTAAATTACCAAAATTGTTCATTAGAAAAGAAATTACCAAAATTGTTCTTTCAAAGTGGGATCATTTTATACTAACTTTCTTCTACATCACAATTTAACGTTAATTTTTATGTTAATATTATAATATATTGTGATAAAAATATAAAGTGACAAAATGTCTCACTCTTGAGAGTCTTCTTAGCATTTCTCTAAAAAAAAAAAAAAAAAAAAAAAAACCAAAATTTTCTCTTCTCATATTCAGTAACTTTGGGTCAGATATTGTTCATCCTTGTATGCTTATTTTCGCAATCAGGTTTTTCACATAACAATTTATGTCAAAAATGCTACTTTTTTTTTAGTAAATAACAACTATCTTTTGAAGTGGCATTGGATGTGTTGGACTTACGAGTTACATGAATGTTATTATGATACTATGTAAGTTGTTTTTTTGTCTCTATGTTGCTTATATGACAAATGGTAATTCACGTCGCATCGATTTCGGCGTACATGCAAGTCAAAAATTGATCAACCGAGTATTACGTCATATAACAAACATGTGAGATTGACAAGGGAGTGTATTGTGTAATGATTTGTAAATTTATGATTGTTTTTATCAAACTAAAAAAATATCAACCAACTTATCACATACTTCAAATTACATTTATCCGAAGTGTAATTGATTGCAAAAAAATTTAAAACCTATTCAACCATTAATTAATCTATATCTAATTTTAAGACTATAAGTAGCATTTGGTTTGCGTTGCGCAAAAGGTATATAAGCCCGATGGAGCGACGATGAGAATGGAAAACCCCACGAAGGTTGTATAAGTAAGCCTCGCATACCAAGCCTATCAAGAGTCAAATTCGAACGACAAATAGTTCCTCGGTAAGTGCTTTTACACTTTTATCGAATGTTTATTTGTTTTTACACGATAAGCTAGCAATAATGTGATCAAATTCTCTTTGACAGTAATTGAATTTAAAACTTCTCATTTTCTTATATTAGAGAAAACACAAGAAGTATATATAGGTCCTTTAACACACCCCTAGCCGCACCTCCCTCTAGGGTTTGACACCTAGGCCCTTTACCTGTCAAGCCCATTCGCTTGTCCGCTTTAGGCTTGTGACTTTTACACCTATTTTAGTTAAATAAAATCAAATCGAAGTCAAACCCTTTTTTTTACACTATGATTCAGATTCAAACGAAGCCATTTCAAAACCATATAAATCGAATTATTCGGTATAGCTTGATTTGGTTCGTGTTTCGATTTTGATTTTCAATTTCATATGTGGACCTATGATATTCTGTCCAATAATCTAACACATGTTATTATAAAAAAATTAAATTAAAAATTGATTAGTGAGCAGCGCTGTTGTCCCTTGTCCTATGTGTTGACATTTTGCTCCTTTGTTAGGATGGGATGGCATAGTGTAGTCACTCTGTCGACACATAATGTTTGATACATTATATGGCGTTACATAACATCTTAATTATTTAGGGTTCATTTTAATTTGTTTTTAAAAATGGTTGAAAGTATTTTTTGAAAATGCTTTTTGAATCAATCTTGGTAATGAACATTTTCACTTCCTAAAATATGGCACACGCTGCCTTATATTTAGGCCAACGCTGTCACAGCTCAACTGCCATAATCTTCATTTTCTCCTCTATTTCATATTATCAGAGGGATGAGCCAAATGTCTAATTCCAACAACACCAATATTGTTCCCAACTAGTTAATTACCACCTACACAGTTCGACATGTATGAGGTTTTATCACAAAAGGCTTTAGTATTAGTTGAAGTGGTATGAACTTTTGTACCAGAAATAATGGTATCTCCAATTATAGCCCATCTGGGATGTAAAATATATCTTTTCTCACCATCCCCAGGGGTTAGAATTAAATAAAAAAAAAAAAAAAAAAGAAGATATGTGAGATATTTCAACACCTGCCGAGTGTCATTTGCAAGTCCCTTGCAGATCACGTATGGTCATTTTCTAAAATAGCCAATTGGCTCTAAACATCAAAGCTTTATGCTACAAGCTCAATTATTCGCACTCAAGTGTTGATTTCATACAACAAACACAACTAACTGTGGCCGAGGCTCCCATTAACTCCGCTTTTTGGTTGTAAGTTTTCTCAAGTATATATCACAAATCTCATTCAAGCAGATCGTCTTGCATTCACAGTTTGTATATGTGTTGATGGTATATTTTTTTGATCTGAATCATAGTTTCTAAACCTTTTCATTTCAAGTGACATGAGATTTAGAAATGAAAAAGCAAATACAAGAGAGTTGATTGAACTAGAGAATAACTAGGACTGCTTTCTTGATTAAACTAGATAAATGACAAATTCGGAACGAATCCTTGTAATCGACAGTGTATCGATTCAGTGGAGCATAGCGTGGGAATAGGATTACAAAGAAGAAGATAGGTTACAAAGTACACGTACACAAGACAAGTTGCTGATTCTGCATGCATGCACGTGGTAGAGTATACATGGTCAGGCATTTGACTCTGGGCCTGCAGGTTTTGCGTTTAGCAGTGGCTGTAAAGCCTTCACAACGATGGTCATGTTTGGCCTGAAGTCAGCTTCGTACTGTACACAAAGTGCTGCCACTGCTGCCAACTGAGACATTGCGCATGAAAACCAAAGTTTTAGAAACTAATTACATGTCAAGTTGATAGCCTAACGTATGCCTGCCTTATTGAAACAACAAAGCAAGCGTTTCCCATCAAATCATCCAGCTGTAGTGTCGTATAATATACCCACGCCCATCGATGGCTAATAGTCACCCACGCAGGTGTGAGCTACTACTAATATTCACACTCTTAGTATGTCGTCCTGTGCTTTGAATTAATATATGGTAATATTAAAACACTAAGAGAAGGAGTAGCGCATTATGAGAAACTAGGAGTGTGAATAGCTTTACCCTATGGGCTCATTTGGTGTTTAGGTGCAATATATTCAAGTTATGTTGAAGGAAGAAGTGAAAACTTGTTTCCGACTTGAATGTAGAAGATTAATCACTCGTTAAGTAAACTTTATTCCCTTCCAATGCTCCCCAAAAAAATGGAGAACTGGAAGAGATGAAACTGTCTAATCCCTTGTGATGCCCTGAAAAATCATTCACCTCTACCTTCAATATACCTTGAATTTTATGAGTTGCCCAATTCATTCCAATTCTAGGCCCCAAACGAGTCTTACAACTGTTAAGAGAATGTGAATTTGGTCATTTTTTTTTTCATGGGATTCCTAGATTGTTCATAGTAAGTTTGTTAAGAGAAAGGATGTTAAAGCAAACCTTAGCAATTGCCTTTGGTGGGCAGTCATTGTTTAGCTTGGGATCAACACACTGCTTTACTTTGTCCTCGCTCAATCTTGGAGTTGCCTGTAATGTTTAATTTGTATGTGGATTCAGATTAGAGGGCTTTAGAAAGCACTGCTAAAAGCAAGTTAGAGAGTCTTGAGAAATTTATGAGTACCCAAGTAACAAGACTTTGTTGCCCCTTTGGCATTGTATGATCTACAGGCTTTCTCCCTGTCAAAAGCTCTAGTAAAACAACCCCAAAACTGTAAACATCACTCTTCTGAGTAATTTGTCCTGTCATCGCATACCTGAATAAAAAATAAAATTAAAAGCAATGATTTTATAATTAAAGGAGGAAATTACAAGCAAACGTAAGGAGAAAATATCATGCACGATGGCAAAATGCTAGAGTTAGTGCAGATTATATAACGGGTTCTATGCAAGATATGTATCTACTCAACCGTGTTTTGGAGATCATAAAGGTAAGATGCTTAATTATGTTTTCTTGCCAGTTGTCTGACAATGTAAGACGCTTAATTATGTTTACACAGACTACATGAATCTAGACCATTAATAGGTTGATTTTTGTTTGAATGTGATCTAATTCCACAATACGAACATAAGTCTAAAAAGAGAATATTACCCTATATATACAAAACTTAGTATGTACCATATCCATCACTATATAACCATTATAGGGGACAGAAATACATCAAGATCAAGCTAACATACCACTTCTAAGCTAGTAATGTTCCTTCAATTAGATTAGTAGAATCAAATCAAACATTCAGAAAACAATAACCGAGGCTTACTCAGGAGCATGATAGCCAAATGTTCCCAAGACTCTAGTCGAGTGCAGTCGCGCTGCTGTGTCTGATGACTGATTTGTCAAGTTGAAGTCCGCAATTTTGGCAACATGGTCATCAAAAAGCAGGACGTTGCTAGATCTGATGTCGCGGTGAACTATTGAAGGTTGAACCTTTTCGTGGAGATACTCAAGGCCTTTGGCTGCACCAAAGGCAATTTTAATTCTCTGATTCCAACTAAGAACTGGACCCGGTTCAGCCCCTTGTACTCCTTTCCTTCCTGCAGCAGAAATAGTGGATAAAACGAATTGATTTTCAACGAATTGTAGAAACAAAAACAAAAGCAAATTATGTAACTGAGTATACCATGTAATATGTCATGTAAAGATCCCATGGCTGCAAACTCATATATCAAAATTCGGTTATTTGCCTCCGAGCAATACCCCATCAATTCCACAAAATGCCCATGCTTAAGTCTTGACACTGTTGATAACTGCACAAGATTGATCCAGCATTTTATTTAAAACATGCAACATTGTCTTTGTCTAGAAAACATAAGGCCCCAAATCTTACTTGTGCTGAAAAATCAGAGTCCTCTTGTGATGAACCCGTATCCAATTTCTTTATTGCAGCAGCCTTACCATTACTCAATTTTGCATGGAAAACCCGGCCATAAGAACCTTCTCCTATCAAAGCCTTCTGACCAAAGTTACCCGTTAACCTATTTAGTTCATCCAAAGACATAGATGGTATTTCGATGGGTAAGACCTTCTGTGGAGCTCCGCTTTTGACCGTATTAGAACTCCTTGGCTCTCCCCTGTCATTGCCTGCAACACAATGGAATGGTTTGTAATGCTTGACAAGGTGCATGCTAGTTTGTGACACAAGTATGCATATGCATGAAGGTTGAAAATATGTTTGACATACGGAAAGATTGAATTTGTTAGTTTGTTGTCCACCGATTATCTAATTAACAACTTAATCTTTGACAAGGTCATGTGATCATTGTCTGACATGGTATCAGAGCTCTCGTTTCTATAGGCTCTCAACATCAAACCTCCAACCTCATTCCACACCATATTTATTCCAGTTACATTAGATTTTGCCCGCCCTCAGTCACCATTTGGGCTAACCCCAAAACCACTTATTTAATAATCCGTGAGATGAAATTTTCCGTACAGGTGTGCAGTCATCTGAATGGTTATCCATTCCTATCCAATCCTAAAGGCCTCATGACGGGTCGAGCAATTGTCTAACAGACTTAAGCTAAGAAGTTGGACAACCAAACTGCTAATACAGCCGCCCATACTGAAATTCCTCAATAATTAGTAGTAACGAGCTGCATTTTTGCTTAAGAAATGGATTTTGACTTGACCTAGCAAACAAGTTAATAGAACATTGCATGGTTAATTAGAACTTGTCATTCGAATGAAATTGCCCTCTAATAATTACCACTAACACAATGGTCCTCATAAGTCACAATATGGCAAATGATTTGAAATTAAGAAAGATTAAAAAAAATACCTCCTCCTCCTCCATATGTATTCCCACCTCTGGGTGGGGCGGTGTATTGATTAGCAGGTGGGCCGAAGTTTTCCTCCTCCGCACCCCCGCAACACATCATTTTTCAAGTTGTGGTGACACAGCAAGATTAACGACCCATGTATCACCACCAATTGCTAATTTTCTACACAATTAATTTTATTCAGCACCAACAAAAATATTTCTGAATAAAATTATTCCTGCAATTCCAAAAAATCCCACATCAACTTATCTACAATAAACAAAAAGGAAAGATCAGCCTTTAAACTGCATCTATATGTTTCGTTTTTGTCCAAAATTTATGAATAAATATAAATACGAATCAAACAGAAGACCAAGAATTTAAGATCTATTTGGTTTCTGGGTAACCAAAATAGAAAATGAAAACCAACCATAAGGATGATTACATCTTGTTAAAAATATATAATAAATATATAAACCAATCACTTAGAACAAATCTCAAAAGCAACGTGGACAGTTTTTACGGAAGAAGATCAACGGAAATATGATTCAAGTTGAAGAAATGCAGGTTGAATAAAATGATGAAGTGAAAACTGACCTGGGAATTTAAAGAATGGTGAGGAACCAGAGGAGGGACAGAGAAGAAGCGGAGGAAGAAAACAGCAACGTTTTGATAAATATTTGTGTAGATTTGTCTGTGATGGACGGGCTCTCTGTTTTGGGACGACAGAGAGAGAGAGAGAGAGAGAGAGAGGGAGAGAGAAAGAAAGAGGGCACGTCATGCGTCTCTGTTTCGCGGGAAACTCGGGCATAAAACAAACCCTACCTCGTCTACGTTTAAATGTCACCACGTTGCACGTCCCCCTTTCTATTTGCTATTTCTCATCATGCATGCATGATGTTTATGGTAATACAACCACCAAAACTTCACCATACGGGTGCCCTTGTATGACTGGCTGGTGTGATTTGGGAGTGTTTTAAGTTAATGGAAGACAGAGCACATGCATTAGGTGTGGGGGAGCAAAGTCAAGCGGGATTAGGAATAAAATGTATTTTTGACAGAAAAGCTACTAACACACCTTGACAAATTAAATAATCACAATAAAAAGGCAGTTAATTAAAAGATAGCCTTGCAGCAAGTCATAGGACTCAGAGCATTTGATTACTAACAAAACTCAAAGGAAGTGCGGTTTGATGCATACTTGATTTATTTGGCCTTATTCATGGATTTTTTTTGCCCTACATTCTTCTTAGAGCTGTTGGATTGATCTTATTAGAATTACCATAGTTTAGTACATTCTATTATTCTTCATTTAAACTTTATTTCTAACACTCTAAACGGAAGTTTCAACACCTACAACAAAGTATTGGTTAAGAAAGAAAAATTAGTGCGGCACACTACGCACGAGTTAATTATATGTTCTTTTAATTGAAATAACATACATAACAGTTAATCGCATGTGAACAATGTAAAAGAATGCATTAAAAACATATAGTTGATTGACTAATAAATATTAAATGGTAATTATTATTTTATGTTTTCATTTTGTGTAATTTTGTTTCCTCTACTGCAATTACAATCGTGTCTGCAGAGAAAAAAAAAAGGTACGAAAGTAGGTGCAATAAGATATGCTAAATTAATTTCACAGTTGTGTTTGTATATCTTGGATTGGCATGTGTGGAATCTTTCTGCAAGATCATTTATATTCGTTAATTTTTTTTCTGACAGTTTATCTATCTCATGAAAATATGAAAATTAATTTTATTACTGTCTAATATAGAAAATTATGGACATATAAAATCGATGCATGAAGAACACGTGCAAATTATTTTTGTAGTAAAGATGTCTTTATGTATGCAGAAAGGTGGAAGGGAAAAAATAAAAATTGTTTTTGTAGTAAATATGTCTTTATGTATGTAGAAAGATGGAAGGGAAAAAAAATAACTCTGTATGCTGCGCGTAGTATCGTTATGTGAGAAAAAGAACTTTTGCAAGGAATTATTTTAATGGGTTTGTGTTTGTTCTTGGATTAATGAGAAGAAGAACGGCAGCGGCAACAAATTGGAGGCGCCAACACCACCAGCAACAACGGGGGTGAGGTGAAGGGAGACGGAGGTAAGATGAAGAAAGAGGAAAGCCCCATCACCGTGTCTTCCTCAAGGTGGTCAAATGTGTCAAAGCCTTTGGAGGTATAATAATATATCCTTCAAAACCTTTTGCTTAATTATTGCATAATAAATCCTCAAGGTTGATCTGCAACTAGTGACTTAGAGAGAAAAGTGGTAGTGTGAGAGAGCGATCTGAGTAGTGGAGGAATTGAGGTAGTGCAGTAGAAGAAGAAGCAGAGAAAAAATGGGGACGCTTTAGACGTGGAGGAAAGCCTACGGCGCTCTCAAAGTCGGCCTCTCGCGCATCAACAGCGATTACGCAGTACAAATTCCTTTCCCTTTTGTTTAATGTACCTTTATTTAATCAATTAGAAGCAAAACAAAAATTGAACGTGGGATTCAAACATCCATGTCTCTGCCTTTGCAAACGGGGCAGAACGTTTATACAGAGGAAGTAAACCGTCAATCAAAACTTCAAAGTCTTGGCAAAGTCACATGAAGAAACACAATAGAATTTGTTAAGTAAAGTGTTAACAAATTCTATTATCTAAACTATATATTAATAGAACTCACTTTATCAACAAAAAACCAATGAAATTACAATTACAATTATTAATACATAACTGGAAAAAAAAAATGTGAGAAAAGAAAAAAAAAATGAGGCATTAAAGTAATTTCCAACAAATAACTTTTTGCTGTTTTCTTTTTCCTATACCTCATAGCCATGTCATCTTATCACTACCCTCTAAACTCACTCTCTTTCTCTTTCTTTTTCTCTCTCCATAACTGCCAACACTTTTTTTTTTTTCTGATACCTGCATAACTTCTACCAAAAAATTAAAAAATTAAAAATAATATTTGAGAAAAATGAAAACTAAAAATTATATTTTTCATGGAGGATGTGATCTTTGCTAGTGTTGCTTAATTGTTCTGTTAACAAGATGATTCGATTTATATTCACGTGATGGTAACGAATAATTTTCTGAGTTCTATGACTTGCTTCAAGGCTATCTTCTATTGGTGCGTTTCCGTATATTTAATTCTAGTTTAGTACAAAGTTTTTGCCTTATTTTGGTATATAGTAGTATTTAATTAATTGATTTCATGCATGGTTAACCCTATTTTGGTCCATGTTATTGTAGTCTTAATTAGGTTAAAAATGCAATTGTGTAAATCCTATTGAAATTCTATAGTATCAATTAGATAGTGTTCTAATTCCGTTTATTTAACCAAGCAAGAAAATAGAAACCGACAATAAACTATGGTTTAGATATAATCCATATATAATGAAGATTATATTATCTTCCTTAATCTATATATAGGATGACACAATCAAGCAAAAAAATACAAACTGACGATAAAGTTTGAAGTATTTAGATCATAATTTATTTTCATTAATTAATTATCTCACTAATTGACTATTCCAACTTTTGCAACAAGGATAATCGCGTTGGAAATTTTGAGTAGAAATTTCATTGTCCCACATTTATCACTACCAAATGGTTCTCTCATTTTATAAGGCTTTGTCCCTTATAAAAAGTGATTGAAATGATGGACCATGGAGAATAAAATTAGGCTCAACCTTGGGGTTGGACTTTGGGTGTACTAATTAATTGATAATTAATATGTAATTAATTATCAAAAATGGGCCTTGGAATAAACAAAACAAAGAAAATGTTGAATTCAAGTTTTGACATGAAAGACTTAGGTCAAGCCGATGTCATTCTAGGAATTCAAATTAAGAGAAATAGTGAAGGGTATGTCCTTACACAGTCCCATTATGCAGAAAAAATATTACAGAGGTTTGGTCAATTTGACTGCAAACCTGCTGCAACTCCTTTTGATGTTGGATGCAAGTTGGAGAAAAATAAAGGCAATGCGATATCTCAACTTAAATATTCACAAGTAATTGGAAGTCTAATGTACTTGATGAATTCGACTAAGCCTGACTCAGCTTATGTAGGAAGTAGGCTTAGTAGATATACAAGTAATTCGGCACAAGAGCATTGAGATGCTTTAGTAAGAGTGTTAAGGTATTTGCAAAATACACTTGACTATGGACTACACTACACAAAGTATCCACCTGTTGTAGAAGGCTTTGGTGATGCTAATTGGATTTCTGACACTACATAATCCAAGTCGACAAGTTGATATGTTTTTACCTTGGGAGGTGCAGCAATATCTTGGAAATCCTCTAAACAAAAATGTATAGCTCATTCCACCATGGAATCAGAGTTTATAACTTTAGACTTGGCTGGAGACAACGTTCTAAAAAATACTAGGCGCTAGTCGGCCGTCGGGCTAGCGCCTAGAGCCTAGGCGGCTAGGCGGATTCACTACAACAGTTTGAGTCTTTTACGACTTGGCAAATACAACATACAATACTGGTATGTCATAAATAATATCATTCACGACATTCATAAAGTTCATGTCGTAATACTTGTGCATAATCTCACATTCACGTCAGTACTTTTGTGCAAGTTGTTAAACACAAATATTTACGGCTTAAGCGTTGTGTATCACATTTGACAATTTATACGACACACTTTCCTTCTCTTTTAAGGCTTCACGTTATGTCGTAATGTGAATTTTTCATATATTTGTGTCCGTACCTTTTATGACACGAATGACACGTCGTAAATAATGACTCTAACTTTGGAAAATTATTATGTTATAAACAAGCCAAATTTTTCTAGTCAATCAATAGACAATTTGGCGCCGAAATTTTTTTTTAGTTCCCGCCGAAATTTTCCCCACCCACATTTTATTATTTTTTTATTAGACCAATTCATGTGTTTTGGGGTGCCCAACACCATTAGATTTGTTTTAGTTTCCTAATGTTCGAAAATAAGCTTTTTGGCTTTTTGGCTTTATTCTCTTTTCTTTCTCCAGAGTCCCCAGCTTCTACGACTCATCAGGCTCTTCGGCCGGCCATGGTGATTTCCTAATCCAACACATCTCTCTTTTTTCCCTTGTTTATTCTTTTTAGAAAATGCAATTTCAATATTTTTCTTGAAACTTTTGTATTTTTAACCATTTGGTTTTATCCTTTTCAATGATATAAATGTTGAGTTTGTAATTATGAAAAAAGATATAGATTTCAATCTTTTGTCTGGTGCTATGTATGCATTTGTGAGTATTTGAAGGAATATGGCTTGAATGAAAGTGAAATGGTGAAATTTCTCTACTTGATGCCTTTTATTGAGTTTCAGTAGGGGCAAGAAGGCTAGAGTTATATAGGGGTGTTTGGTTCTTGCTGTAATTTGTGTGGTCTGGACGAAAAGAAATAAAGGGCTTTTGAAGGTATGGTGGAGTAGGGGCTAAGGAGCTATGGGATAACTTGGCGAGGAGTCTATGATGTTGTAGGCCTACTAATTTTTCAGATTTTAGGAGGGTTTTGTTTCCCTCATGCATTTCTATTTTCCTTTAGTGGTCCTCTTGACCACTTTTTCATTGGTTGTTTTATTGTCTTTGTTGCAAGAAAATTATTTTGTCTTTGTTGCAACCAGAAGATGATTAGAATCCGGGAGAAAAGTAGTTTATTAGCACAACAATTCCATGCAATTACAATTATGAATCTTTTTTATTTTTAATGCATCAACTGAGGGAGCATTTGCTGATGACTTCAATCATTGAGGGCAACATTATTTTTAAAAGCTCCTAGTTGACTTCAATCATTGAGGCCAACCATTTGGGGAATTGCAGCAAAGTATGCTTCTCTTCTTGGTGTCACGGCAAGGGAGTTGGTTCCCATTACCGTAGATACATGGAAAGAATTTGCTGATGACTTTAAGCATCAACTATGGGAGCATGTTCAGGTAATATAAAAACCTTATTATGTTTTGATTCTGATATTTAAATTAGTTCTCTATCAGTTTCAATAATTTAATGTTTTATGTTTTAGAATAAATTTGATGTTGATGAATGTCATAAGAAGTATTCATTACAAAAGATTTTAAAGATTTCAAATCATTGGCGAGATCACAGATGCAAAATGCTTAAGGAAGTGTAGAAACAAGGAGAGCAAATTGGTTTTAAGCGTGCTACAAAGCAAATCAAGCCTGATAATGTGAGTTTGGTACAATGGCGAAGTTTTGTTAAGAAACACTTAGGTTCAAAATATAAGGTAATAATATTTCTTTTCTTTTATTCAAATATATTCATTCTATTTTCAGTACTTCAAATCCATAACAATTATATTGAATAAATTTTGGATATATAGGAGGTAAGTGAGAGATTCAAGAAAATGAGGGCAAAGCAAACTATGCTACACACAATGAGTCGCAAAGGCTATGCTCGCCTTGAAGATGAGATGGTAAACTACAATTTTTATTTCTATTAGTCATATTTTACTTTTGTAGATTTTCTGGTTTAAAGTTTCAATGTATATTTCATGTATGTTTGTACAAGAGTGAAGAAGGCATGTTGCCTTCCTAATCTAAACCTTACACAAACACATTACCCCAAGCAGCCTCCTCCCTTAAATCAAGGGAAAGGTGATTTACATACCCTTACCCTAAAAATTACAATGAGCCTTACCCTAGAGATTTACCGTAGGGGTCACCTTGGTAGTAGACTCCATATGCAGCATCACAACAACTTTTTAACATAATTGCAAGTGGTGCTGCTGTATGAAGACTATGATCTAATATTCTCTCTTAGTGCTTTTTTTTTTTTTTTAATTTCTAATGATGTAGATAAGAGAAAGTGAAACACCTAATGCAATAACAAGGGGAGATGTATGGATTCGTGGGCACACAAGAAAATCTGGTGAATTTTTAAACGAAGAGGTTGCAATTGTAGCGGTAATGAATGGAACAATTTATACTCATTTGTATTAGTATTATAGTCTTTATTTTATAAGTTAACATTTTGCTTTTTCATCGTAGAAAAAAATACAAAATGCAAATAAGAATGTAATAGATGTTGATAAAAACTCTATTAAGAATGATGATCTTGCCAAAGCGCTTGGACCCGAACGTAGAGGTAGAGTAAGGGGACTTGGGTTTGGTGCAACACCTTCACAAGTGAGTGTTCAAACATATAATCGTGAGAGAGTTATTATGCTGGAAAAAGAGTTGGAAGATTTGAAAAATACTATCCATTTCCTACTAGTTGGACTGATGGGGAAAAATGCTAACTCGGTAAGTACATTTTTCGTACACTTTATTATTATTATTAAATATTAAATTAGCATCAAACTCATAAATTATGGTCTACTTTAATGGCAGTCTCCTTGTGTTAGCACAAATCATCAAGGATCTGGAAACTTACCAAATGATTCAACCAATCACCATGCTAATTCAGCAAACCATCATGCTACTTCTTCCAAGCCTCAAGCTAAATCTTCCAACCTTGATGCCTCTTCTGGTAATCTAAATCATAATTCTCCCAAACCTCAAGGTACTAAGTGAAAATTACTAAATTGGACAGGGACTAGAGAAGTTGTTGCACTTGCTGAAATTGCATCCACAAATCCTCAAGATTTGGTGCATTTTGTGCCACTTGGACCAAATCATAAGAAAGTTTGGGTCCTTGAGATACTTGTATCTAGGATAAACTTACCTCGACCAACACATGAGTTTTTTCTTCTCAACGATGCACTCCTTAGTACAATCGCATGGCCAATCGAATCTATCTCCTTTGACTAGCTCTTGATTAAAAGGTACTAATTTTGGTTGTGATGGTTCACTAACTTTATATCAATTTCTACTTAGTTTTTTCTTGGTTTTTTCTCACTTACTAGCTATATATATTTTGGTCCTATAGATTTGAGATTTAGCTCAACGCTTCCTTCTTGGTATGGTGCTCTTTTGTGATGAAATTGCTTGCTCCATGAACATGGAAGGTGTGCTTGGGATATTGCTTTTTGGTATGATGTTGCCTTATATTTTGGTCCTACATATTTGAGAATTAGCTCAAAGCTTCCTTCTTGGTATGGTGCTCTTTTGTGATGAAATTGGTTGCTCCATGAACATGGAGGGTGTGCTTGGGATATTGCTTTTTGGTATGATGTTGCCTTATATTTTGGTCCTACATATTTGAGAATTAGCTCAACGCTTCCTTCTTGGTATGGTGCTTTTTTGTGATGAAATTGGTTGCTCCATGAACGTGGAGATGGAGGGTGTGCTTGGGATATTGCTTTTTGGTATGATGTTGCCTTATGGTCATCATTAGTTTCCTCTATTAACTTTAGGATGTGCATAAGTTGTAAGAGGAACAAAACAACTCAAGTTTTTTGTAAACTTCCAATTGTAATGTAATTGACATTTTTACTAATTAATCTAAGTATTTAGAGTTTAATGCGTTTACGATGATTATTGTTATCTTTCTATTGTACTCCTTACAATACTAATTTAGATGTTATGAAGTGAGGCCCATCTAAAATGAATTGTTAAAAATAAAAATAAAAATAAAAATAAATGTAAACTACGACATGCAAAATCAGTCGTAATTGTTGATGGTAGTCTTCTTTTACGATGTATGCCGTAATTGCCTTCACAGTATTACGACACTCAATAAACGCCATATCAAATATTAATTACGGCACACAGGTATGCCGTAATTGCTTTTGCAGTATTACGACACTCCATTAACGCCGTATCTAATACCAAGGCACATAAGGCACGCCTTAAAGAGCATTTACGACGTATTTTGCTTAAATTATTCACGGCTACTAGGGAACGTCATATTTGACAAAACATCTTTTACGATAGGGGCTTTTATTGCTTGGGGGATCAAGCCATGAATAGCCGTTTACGGCGCCCTTTGTGTGCCGCAAAAGACCAATTCTGTTGTAGTGATTTAGGTAAATTTATTGTAAATCTTGTAAATAAGTGCATATTGACACTTACAAAAAATTATACTTGTATGAAATCCATGGATAAGATAATAAAAGAATGATAAAATGCAAAAAGAGTATCCAACAATGTCTCTCCAATAGATAGGATTTTTTTTTTTTTTTAATGAATTAGATGGTAGAAGATGAAGTTCATATGATAATAAATATGTACTACTTAATAAATATTTTTTAAAGATTATTTATTATATAGTGAACTTAAAAAAAAAAGTAAAGATGTAAACGTTGTGGTTTGTAGTTTGTAAAAAGGAAGGTATGGCGCACTGCACCAAAAAGGGATGTGGGGCACACCACACAATATTCAATGTATGTTACAATTGATCAAAAGTTAATTAATTTAAAAAAATAAAACAAAAAGTGGAGTGGTCATGTCTGTCACGTGGGGGAGTGGGAAGACAGAAACTTATTTCTATCTTCTTCTTCCTTTCGTCTTCTACTTCTTCCTTTCGTCTTCTTGAAATGCAGAAGGCAGAACTAGAACAAGAACGCAGCTCTCTGCAACAGCAAAAAGTCCAAAATGCCCAGACCACCTAGGTCATCAAGTCGCCCGCCTAGGCCGCCCAAGCACCGCCTAATCTGCCTCTGCGCCCACCTAATCCTCTTGCCAATTTTTCTCCCGATTATGAGCTAATCGAAGTGGTTGGCCACCTTGTAGCGCCTAAGCCGATTTTTAGAACACTGGCTGAAGAAGAAGCCGAGTGGCTCAAACATTTTCTGGAGGATATTCCACTGTGGCAAAGCCTGTAACTGCTATATGTATACATTATGACAGTATGGCCGCGCAATCAAGGGCCAAAAGTCATGTATACAATGGAAAGTCGCGACACATCAGGTGTCAGCATAATACCCTTAAGAAGTTGTCCAATGGAATAATATCCATTGATTATGTGAAGTCAAAGGAAAATATAGATGATCCTTTGACAAAAGGTCTACCAAGAGAGCAAATATTATTTACATCGAGGGGAATGGGTCTCAAGCCAATTCAATGAATTGGACAGGGTGGAAACCTAACCTAACTGATTGGAGATCCCATGGTCTAGGTTTAATAGGCAAACTGGTTCAGTTTGATTCAAAAGTTGAACACACAACTTACCCATTCTTATGATAAAATGTGTGTTGTCTGTTGCATTCGAGGGGTTATGTTTTATACATTTAATGACATTAATATCTTGTTATCAAGACGAAATGGGGCTGCATTTATGAGAATTGAAATGGCTAAATTCTCTAAAACTCCTACGAAATCCGGGATCTGTTTAGGGCCAAAATGAACACAACCGTATAAATTGACATGCAGACATGATATGTGTGTAGCATATTGTCTCAGTTTACTATTGCGGTGAACAGTTCAAGATCTTCCACATCCACTGCGTCACCAAGTAAACCCGATATGTTTCTACTAGGGTAAGTTCAAGTCCAAAAGACACTTCATCATATGCATAATGTTGGAAAATTTAGGCAGCTAGTCATACATTTGCATTCAAATGTAGGGTGTTATAAGTAAACTGGTGGTGTTTGAATGAAATTTCAACTCAAATGTAGGGTCTTGTTGGAAATTTTGAGTAGAATTTTTGTTGTCCCACATTGGTCCCTACCGAATGGTTCCCTCACTTTATAAGGCTTTGTCACTTATAGAAAGTGATTGGAGTGATGGACCATGGAGAATAAAATTGGGCTCAACCTTGGGGTTGGATTTTAGGGTGTACTAATTAATTGATAATTAATATATAATTAATTGATAATTAATATATAATTAATTATCAAAAGATGGTTAGGCTCGGGCTCTAATAATTAAATTCAATAAGCAATTTTGAATTTAATTAATCTTTTTTGTTTTTTTCAAATAGACTCGTCCTTTCAGATGAAGTCTGAGAGCGTATGAAAATATTTGAGAAAAAGATGGAGCAACACACCCTTTGCGTTTAACAATCGCCTTCCAAAAACATGTATGTTGCGAACAGACATATGCTCACTATAAATACATGCATCTGCATATCATTCAACTCACTGAAAATCATCAATCCATACATACGAAGCATATTGAGAGTACCACAAAGAAATTCGCCAGAAGTTTAGTTTTGTGGTGCTGGAATTCTGACTTAGATCGTTGAATCTTGATGAAGCAGACGTCCGTAGAACTACAAGCACTGAGCAATGACGAAATTTTTGTTTCAAGGACATTGCGGTACGCAAGCCTCGATTTTCTGTTTATCTGCTTAAATATTATTTCATTTTGTTTATACTCTGTAATATATTTATTCACATTTATTATTAGCATATATAAGTTTATCACAAATTGTTGACATATATCCAACAAAGCGCATTACGATCAAAGCATAGTCCCTCCTTCAATTTTATTGAGGAGCTCAATTGCTATGCCCGCAAGCTTAATCAAATCCTCCACACGATTGGACACTTCGGTCTTGAGAAGCCCATCATTCACGACCTCAAAGCTTTCT